TTTGAGGCTACTTGCATGTTCGAATATTCAGCCCTTATTTGTTGATGATCCAAACATTGCAGGTAATTTTTCGGTAGGTACTAAGTATAGTACTGTATGCTGTGTACGTTTTGTTGTACGACGTTCTGTGCAATCCTTCTTCTATTTGTCGGCGCTGGTTGTTCTTTGGAGCTTTGCTTTACATATCGTTGGTAATCGATAAGACTAAAATTTAGCTTTCTTCCCGTGCAGTTTAACCTCAATTCAAAAGGGCAGTTGATTTAAGTAAACGAATCTCAGACTCGTTCTCTAACAATATAATAAATATGTGCTCGGTTTGTTGGACGTTAGTCCACTAAAGTAGGCATTCTCTTAGTGGCTGGCTGGTCGGTACTACTTCCTTTTAATAGAGCTGATCCTCGCAATAAATTATATTTAATTAACGATTACGTGAAACTTTTATCTTAGGATTGGCTTTAACGACACAATGAGGAGGACTCTGTGCAGGATTACTTAAGAAATCTGGGCATTAATTGCTAATTACGGGTAATTACATGTGATTATAGGTAATTACAGGTATAATTGCAGGAACAAATAATGGATCCTCGAAACGGCCCAGTACTCGACGTACTAGACAAGGTACTGGACCCTAGTTGCCTGGTTACTAATCCCGGTATCTACAGATGTACTACACTTGGACCACTACGTTAACTCCCTGTGGTATAACGTTCCATTGCTAATTACCAATTTCCATTGCTAATTACCAATTTCCATTGCTAATTACCAATTTCCATTGCTAATTACCAATTTCCATTGCTAATTGGTAATTATCTAGAATACCCCTCCCATAAGGAGATAATGTTTCCGTACCTGGACCACACTGTTTATTTTCGAGCATCATGCACTGTAGCTACTGCGTTGTTATACTGTGAACTGTCAGTAAATTTATACTGTCAGTACTCTTCTTGTTATGCCTACTTTGTTAATATGCCTTCACTTGTTAATACTTTAATATCTTGATAGTAAAGTAGCGTGATGCAGTTACTAATGTGTCGTTATAATATTAATGTCAGTACTCTTCTTGTTATGCCTACTTTGTTAATATGTCTTCACTTGTTAATACTTTAATATCTTGATAGTAAAGTAGCGTGATGTAGTTACTAATGTGCCTTCACTTGTTAATACTTTAATATCTTGATAGTAAAGTAGCGTGATGTAGTTACTAATGTGTCGTTATAATATTAATGTCAGTACTCTTCTTGTTACGCCATATACTAATTTAATATCTTGAACTTGTCAATAATCACTAATCTTATCCCTATCTGAATGTTGGGGTCATTTTCAGCTCCCAATCGAGAAATTGCAAGTTTGAGTCCACTTTATATTTAATATTTTCAGTTGAGTATTGTATTGACTATCAGTAGCTAAAACCTGCACATATATATAATACACTGAGTATATTATATATAGAGGATAGATTAGTTACTTTTTATATGATCACAACAAATTAAAATTCCTTTCATTTAACATTTAACTATCAATTAATGCAGCCACGATTGGAGCCTCATGATAAAACTCAGCAGGACCAAGCTTGATATAATAAAGTATGAACATGTATTTGTACACACTTAGTGAGTATTTGTACACACTCGAGTACCAATTCAGTGAGTAGTGTCTCTGGTTATAATTATATTAACTCCTTGGACAGTGTCGCACCACTTCAGTAAGACCACTAATGATGATCACGAACATGAGAATCATAAGATTATATTGGCTCTGCAATGCAGTACTATTATTATCATTAGAGATCACTACAATCCAGTAGTGTAGGTAGTATTATTATTAGAGATCACTAACAATCCAGTGGTGTAGTATTATTATTAGAGATCACTACAATCCAGTAGTGTAGTTATATTATTGTTAGAGATCACTATTATAATAATCTAGTTGTGTCTGTAAACAACTATTTTATTAAAAGATTAAACAAAGTAAAACTTTAATCTTTACCACACAAACATATTACATTTTATGAAATGGTAATGTTTGGGCACCCTGCACAGCTATAATTGGATTACAATGCTTTCTAGTATAAACATTATCTATATCTATAAGTTTATAGACACTTAGATAAAATGTAAGTAGTTATTGTGGAGTAGGTATATTCTAGACACTCAGATACAATGTTAGTAGTTATTGTGGAGTTTTGCTTGTGGAGTAGATACAATGTTATTGTTAGTAGTTATTGTGGAGCGCGCGAGTATTGCTTGCGGAGGTATATTCTTCAGAAGTTCTATTAAGACTCCTGCGTAAACCTGGGTGGAGTTGTTGACTACAGTAAATACTGCTAGTTGTTATGACGTAAATCATTTTAACTACTACTTTTGGTTTCTTAAACGATAAATTACGACTTCCACAACAGTACTACCGACGGTGGTCTGGGAGTACTAACTGTTTTCTAACTACAAATGTGATTTGATAATCGGCTGTGTTTAAGTTATTAAGTTGTTATTGGTAGGTTGTGTCTGTTCCTACACTGAGGTCGACTGTAAGGGCATTACGCTAACTTTGCATTGCTTTATTTTACCCTTAATTTTAATAAATAATCCCAAGTCTTATATGTTTCAAAAATTAAAAAGCTTTTTAATTCTATTTTGCATTCAATGTTTTGGCTATCTCAACGGTTTTATTATCTGAAATTATCTTAACTGAAAATTTTAGACAGGAGCTCATCCCTCAGACTATGATATTGATATTAGGATATTCTAAGGCACATACTTTAATAAGTTTATACTCACTAAAGGGCAAAGAAGTGCGCCATTCTTACACTTATTATTAGCTATTAAAACCATTTTCTGTCATTATAATTCTTTTCGTGGTCCAGCCGTATATTTGGATGGTTCATCAATCTGAAAAACGAAAAAAAAACTTTATTAAAGGTACGCACTACGTGTGAGTGCACGAGACTCTTTAAAGAGACGCCCAAATGCTTCACTGAGCATTATCTAGGGTCATCAGGTCGAGGCACCACTCAGTGAAACAGAAACTGCTTACGTTGTTTAACGTAACAAATTAACAAGTGCTGATTCTTCATCGGATCATAACCAATAGATAACTCTTCTCGAATTTTAAACAGGAATAAACATTAGATTTTTAAGATCATTTTGCCTGTGATCTTAGTTCAGCATCAGCTAGCTGCTGTCTTTGCTGTTTTGATTCCGTCAACTTTTATGTTAAACTCTTTGTACCTGGTTCAATTTGAGATGGACATTCGAACCTCCGCAAACCTCCGCAGAGGCTTTGCTTTTTAAAAAATCCACCAATAAAAAATTTTATTTAGTTATTTAAGTGCTTTAGTTTAACTAAGGGTATCTAGTTCCATATTCAAGATATAAATGTGAACGTATATTTGGGGAGGTGAAGTATATTTCTTTAACACGTGACAGTGCTTTTGGGGTTTTATTGGTCGATTCAAGAAGCTGATTGTTAAGAAGAAGCTGATTGGTTAAATTTCATCACATGTCAAACAAATATCCATACCAGTTCAGTATTTAACATAGTTATTTAATTTAGGAGCTGTGTGAAGGCAACGTAGACCCACTAATACTCACTAAGACTCACCAATACCCACTAATACTCACTAAAACTCACAAAAACTCACTAAGACTCACCAATACTCACTAATACTCGCTAAGACTCACCAATACTCACTAAGACTCACTAATACCCACTAATACTCACTAATACTCACTTATACTCACTAATACTCACTAATACTCACTAATACTCACTAATACTCACTAATACTCACTAATACTCACTAATACTCACTAATACTCACTAATACTCACTAATACTCACTAATACTCACCAATACTCACTAATACTCACTAATACTCACTAAGACTCACTAAAACTCACCAATACTCACTAATACTAACCAATACTCACTAATAATAAAACTAATAAAAAATAATTAAACTGACCAATTCCCGAGTGCAGTTCGCAAATAAATCTATATATATTCATTCGATATATTATTATTATATATATAATATAACGTCGTATAATTCTTAAGAAGAAGAATTCGTCTACTATTATACTCCGCGTAGCTTAAAATATTTCACTGTAAATGCCAAGTTGGAATAGTTAGTATATCAGCTGTTGATGCTTTGTGTTTTGGGAAGATTGAAAACTTGGTTACCTTATTTTGTCTTGGAACATTTGAACATTATACGTTTACTGCCGTGTTTGAAAGTTTACACCAATAAAGATTGTTTATTATTTTGAATTTGATCGGTATACAAATTTCCACTATTACAACGATCCTAACGTCTGGGATTAAACTCGTCATTAATCGGATCAAACAATCTGATTGATGCTGTTAATTCATTAACGAGCCAGCCACCAAATGCACATCCACGGTGATCATCCAAATACAAGATAGATTTAAACAAATTCTAGGCATTAAGCCAAGTATTACGTATTTACAAACAGTCTGCAGTCCCCCTTAATGCTCACTAAATCTCAACCTTTCGTCTATAATATATTTATTATGACAAAGGCATGTAAACGTCGACAATACTTGATGCATTTTATTTTCAGTGGAGACTTTCATTTCGTCCCCCTTAATCTATTATGATCGCGACAGTTATCAAATCTTCACTATGTCAGGTCGATGAAAGATGGAAGCTGGCTAGATAATACTCACTTATACTCACTTATACTCACTTATACTCACTTATACTAACTTATACTCACTTATACTCACTTATACTCACTTATACTCACTTATACTCACTTATACTCACTTATACTCACTTATACTCACTTATACTCACTTATACTCATTTATACTCACTTATACTCACTTATACTCACTTATACTCACTTATACTCACTTATACTCACTTATACTCACTTATACTCACTTATACTCACTTATACTCACTTATACTCACTTATACTCACTTATACTCACTTATACTCACTTATACTCACTTATACTTACTAAATGCTCTGTCAGGATGAAAGATGGAAGCTGGCTAGCTAATCCAACTCGTAGCTTGTTGGTACCGGTAGTACTATGTTAAGTCACCGCATCCTACAATGCATAGTAGTGAGCCCACCCACGCCAGTAACGCCAATTCCCCCAAAAAACAGGTTAGTTAACTAAATAATTAATATTTAATCAATGTTGTAGTGAGTTTTAAAACACGTATAGTTCTGATTAAAAAACATATCAGTAATTTTTATCGTTACTCTCATAATAGTTTTATATTTTGCATCCTCTTTATAACTTAAATGATGTTTTCGTACTTTATCTAAAATCAGGTTGATCTACTAATCAAATGGGCATGTTTGCAATGCATGTCTTACTTAATGTTTGCAATGCATGACGCATGTCTCACTTAATGTTTGCAATACATGTCTTACTTAATGTTTGCAATGCATGTCTAACTTAATGTTGGCAATGCATCACTAAATGTATGTTTGTATGTCTAAATGTGTTATAAAATGTAACAATTTTATAACATTTATTGTTGATTGTGCGAAATCTGTCCGACAGCCAAATTAGCAGTTTCGGACAGGATACGCTTTCGGGCAGTAGTATTTTTTGGCGACATCTGTCCGACTTCGGATCACATTCGTTTTCACAAGCTCACGGGTACTCTTGTGACGTTGCTCCCACTGTTCTAATGCTGATTTGATCCATTGAGATCTGATCCATCGATACGTGATTGACTATTTAAGGACAGGATCGTGCTAGCCGTACACTAACAAACTGTAACAAGCTGCCGATCACAGTATATAGGAGAGGTATGGAGATCAGTTATCGCAATCAATGGCGACAATCTTCAGTTTACCCCTCGACGCAAGCAAGGCTCGGAGGACCCTGTCCTGAATTGATTTACATACAAATTAGAAATTTTACGTATACAAAGTAACTAGTAACAGTTCAAATCATGTCTCTAATTGGAAATGTGTCGTATTTAAATTGGATCATAATTTCGGACAGATGTCGTTTTTTTGGTAACATGAGTCGGACAAGAGTCGCTGTTGGACAGATGTCGGACAGATGTCGTGTTACCTTTATATACTATATATTATATTATTATATTATTGTTGCACAGCTTAGTTACGCCTATTTGTGTTATCGGATACTAGTTTTTAAAAAGGTTAACGGTCGGCCAGCATTTCCACTCGTCACTGCAAGCACTAAACATGTAATATTGTAATTGTTGGCGGAAATGGAGTGAGGTTCAGAGGTTAATGTTAATTACGATCAGTTTATCATGGTTATTATACTATAAATAAAGTCTTTTATGGAAAAATCACGTTACAGGAATAAAAAACAAAATTAAAACACTTCGCAACTCAATATCTATTCACAAATTGGACATCTATTGCGCACTGTTTCCAAAGAATCTAGTTTTTAGACTGGTATACCCCAAACTAGACCTGCGTAACAATAACGCTTGCTAAACAGTCCAATTATCAATTATCTTTTCTCGTGACATCGAGCACTGGCCAAAACGGCCCAATCACACGTTTTTAGACTGAAAATTGTTACAATTAGTGAGTGAAATTTCAAAAAAGTAAAAAGCAACGCGCACAATTTAAATCCTTTGCACTTAGGAAATTGATACCTTTTATAAAACCGAAAACAGGAAGTCTTGCAGTTTAATTTGCATGTATAAAAATGAAAATTACTAAAATGTTGCACTCTCATCTTAATGATTAGACCGATGGCGCGATTGGACAGCCACATTATGCACATATTAATGCAGCTAAACATTGAAAAACCTGGACTATTATTCCGCAAGGAGACTAACCTATTCACAGCTGTGTAGATCAAAGCAGAATCTTTGTTCGCATAAAATGGTATGGCGCCCGATCATTACGTTTCAAACCACAGGGATTGTTATTATTGTTTTGTATGATAGAGGCAAAGTATTGACATGGCTCTTAGACACGTAAGCAAGGTGGTGTGTGCTCTTTTATGATATTTATTGTTCGCGGTTTGGTAATTTTCGGTAGTTCTTGGTTTGTTTTGGGGGAACGTGCTTGTAATTAAAGTAGTGTCACCTTTAGTGAAGTGTAGTAGTGTCACCTCTAGTGTAGTACTAGCAGTGTACCTACTATTCGTAACCCTTGCGTTAATGGTCGTTAGTCATGTGGATTACCAGTACGTATAATATTATAAGTAAGAGGTTACTTTGCTAACTCCTTGTCACAGCAGCTGTAAGGCAAAACAAATATGAAGGATATGTTACGGACGTGACTATATATTATTATAGTAGTACAAAGTTATTAACACTGAGTCAATAATTTGAACGGACGGTTTCAGAAGAATATTCATTTTGATTTTGGTCTCATTAGGATCAGCTGATATTTGACAGAATCTTAATAATTTTTGTTTGCGTTACGGTTACGATTAAGTGCTGAAGATATCAAAGATATCGAGAAACCAGGAGACCAAAAAATTCAAATTTTAAGGTGAAGCTTGATTTTAAACCAATTACACATTTACATTAACGATCATAAATCTGCAAGGCTGATTGAATTTGTGCATAAAATGGATCTTTAGAAGGTCATCGAGCTGAAGTCCAAAGGTCAGGACAATCGTCTCGTACCTGACGTCTCTTATTATATTGTTCGGCTGCTTTGTAAGTCATAGTTATTTATTCAAGCGTACAATTTGGGTTAATATATGTTCTGGACCGGAAATGGATCTTATGAACAATTATTAAGTAGTCAAAATACATTTATAATAACCAAAATAATATTGTTGCGATATAAAATTGCCGGGCGCGCTTGCCAGTACTGTAATTACAAAACCACATACTGTTACGATAGTGTTGTGATATAAAGTTAAACTTGCCGGGCGCGCTTGCCTGCACTCTAATTAAAATCTCTTGACGTGCGTGGTTGGTGGTAGTTGTACCTTACGCTAAGTACTTAAATTTATCGACCGATCCAGAAACTTGAGTAAAGTACGCAGCCTGCCGCCCTGAGTTTAAACAATTTCCAGAACTATTCCATGGTTATTATGCTAGCATTGTGTATGTTTTTACTACTTATTCTATCCCGAAATTACAATGAAATACTGTTAACATGCCGTCTGTATCCGGAAATGTAATATGAGAATATGCACATATCCGAGTAAGCCATGACTTATGTAAAGCTTATAATGAGCAAATGAAGGTAGTTGCAGTATATACTGCAACTACCTTCATTTAAATTGGGCTCTTATAGATATATACACTGCTTCATTCGTTAGACTCTTGCAGTACCATTGGCTTTATCATTTCCTATTCCTGAAACAAAATCTAATTTTACAATCGTTTGATAGATTGCCTTGAATTGTAGTATGCTTGATACTTATATATATACTATATATAGTAGTGTAAACCATATCCATTCAGCGTTTTAAATTTGCAGCCAAAAGTGTAGCTGTTGATATGAGGCGGCGGCGGAGTAAAAGTTTGATACTTACTGTTAAGCATAAAAGTTACACGGATCGGAGACACTGGTTCATGGTTCAAAACTTTATTTTTATAAATTTATACAGCTAATGTCTTTCTATAATCTGCATCATATACGGCTGGCTGATGGTTATATCTATAATTGCTCGTGTCAATGAAGTGCACATTTTGTTGCTCAACTTTCTTTTGCTGTATCAAATATCACAGTAAAGATCACAACCATTCCATAAAAATGTTTGATGTAATAGTCACATCCCAGTTGAACTCATTTATAAGCAGCTCATTATTTAAACAATTAATTTAATTAATTAATTGTTTAATTTATAGGCAGTTACTCCACCAATATAAGTTATATGCACGGTATATGGATAGTGTAATTTTCAGGCCTTCTTAAAGATCTTTCGTCGATCTTTCAGTGTTTCTTTGTCTGGATACTGCACTTCTTAAATGTAAAGATTTTTAGCACAAATGAAAGTTGCAATGAGATCATTCATCTATCCAACAATTCCATTATGTCCACATTAAACATACGTTATTATATATATATACGTTAGCATAGGACTGTGCTCATTTTGGGCCTCATGGTAATCTTCCATAGAACAGAAAACAATTGCTTCGAGAATATCAAGTAGAGAATTGCTTTTTCAAATATAAAAGAATAGACCAAGTTGACCAAAATGATTGGGTCTTGGGAGAATGGTTGCCTTGGGATATAGACAAGTCTAGCGGTTCAGATATAAAGACAATGCTAAACATTACAGGATTCAAACAATAATAGACTTGATCTTATCGATTATAACTTTGGACAATAGGTGGAAAAATATGGAAAAGATGTACACGCTCAATGCTCAAATATTACAATAATTGTTCATCGAATAATGAATCGCTGTCTATTTGTCAAACGTTTGAACAATTATAATGCAAAGATGATATTTAGTTTTGCAAAACTATGAATATCTCTCACAATGAATGGTCGAGACATGACCAAATTGAAGTAGTGACTGATAAAATAAGAATCTCTATTTTTGAGTGTATTTCATCGAATTTATTTCTTTCGATTTCACACTAAACGTTATTCCGTCAGGTAAACAAGATTATTCACATAAACGTCAGCGGAACGAAGTTTGAGACGACTTTGAGCGTCCTTCGAAAGTTCCCAACCACATTGCTGGGTTCTTCTGACCTTGAATCGTACCTTGATTGCACTTCGGGAGATTACTTCTTCGACAGACACCGTCAATCCTTCGAGGCCATCATGTACTTTTATCAAACAGGTGGGTGGAATTCTTTACCATCATGTACTTTTATCAAACAGGTGGGTGGAATTCTTTACCGAGTATAGCCGGATCCTAGTGTTCGTGGTTTAGTGTTGCTCTGAAGTGACAAATTCGTTTTCATTACTCAAGTGTAATGTAGAAAATTAGCCCGAGGTAAAATTTAGTGTCTTCTAGGACACAGCCCGTGAGTTGTAAAATCGTGTTAATCGTGTGTAATTCTATAATGGTGTAGTCTAATCACAAACGATCAGAAATTTGCTGACTCTGACTGAAAGGAAATGAAATGAAACTATAAACGCGTTTTCAAAGTGATTTGGGGGGGGGGGCACATGATTAATTTGAATATAATAATTTAACGTATAATGATGGTACATTTTGGTATAGTATAATGTATGATGTTTAGAGGATGAATAATAAACCATTTTATTCAGGTGGTCTCTTACACGTGCCCTGCCATGTAGATCCCGAGATATTCCGACAGGAACTCCACTACTTCAAGATACACGATCTCATTCTCAAAGCACTCCCCAAGCCAGCGGAGAAAAAGCTCATGGAGCTTCCCAAACACAAAAACTTACAAGTACTGTGGAAGTTGTTGGAGTACCCTCAGTCCTCAGCTCCAGCCAAGTTTCTAGCAGTGGTAGAGATTGTGGTTATTGTACTGGCGGTAGCTTCCTTTTGCATCGAGACCCTTCCACAGTTTCACGAGAGCATAAGAGAGGGTTGGAAGAAAAATGAAACAGCTGCCATTTTCTTCGCGATAGAAGCAAGCTGCATGGTTGTGTTTACTTTTGAGTTCATTCTCAGAGTAATCAGCTGCCCAGATAAACTGCAATTCTGCAAGGGGATATTGAACATTATTGACTTGATCACAATTTTACCCTTTTATGTGACACTTTTACTCCAAAATGAGCGGGCACTTGATTCGTTTGTCGTGTTGCGAGTAGTGCGACTTGCCAGGGTCTTCCGAATACTTAAACTGTCGCGACACAGCAGAGGACTTATAACCCTAGGGCTTGCCCTAAGGGCGTCCCTTCGGGAACTAGCTCTCCTATTTTTCTTCCTTCTCATCGGGATTGTTCTCTTCTCATCGGGGGTTTACTACGCAGATTTGACAGAAGCCGACACGAAGTTTATGTCCATTCTGGACGGTTTCTGGTGGGCTGTCATTACTATGACCACTGTGGGATATGGAGACGATGTACCACAGTCCAATTGGGGTGAGTTTAAATGGATTACCAGCTATTTCTATTAATTTTCTTCATAATCTATTTTGGATAAAAGTATAAAGGAAATGTTTGCAAAACTGTTGCAGGGTTAAAGTTACTCTTACAATTGTATTTTATTTGGCGCAATAGGAAACAAAAAGTCTCACTTTTTTTAATCAATCGAGCTTTTGGATTTTAAATTTCTCCTCGGAGATGATTAGTTTCAATTTAATTCTTTAGAACAAAATTGATCAAGTAGCATTTAAAAGGAACTGTTCCACTAATAAATCATATTTTATGGTTTTGATCTTATCAACACTCCATTGCTGCGATTTTTGCTCAAATCAATGACAACATTTTCATATCTCCTAAATAATTTCAAAATATATTGCATCTCTATCATCCATATACTTTACCAATAAATATATTTGCGGTGATATCCCCGAACAATCCCGTATGTACATTGTATACATTGTACATTGTATATGTACATTGTATAATTCACATCTACTTCGAGTGTTTCGAGTGTTTGAAATAGAATGCTCATCATGCTTGTCAGGAACGAAGCAGTAACTGAATATTGATTATTAAATAACTACTAATGATTAACCACTAATTATTAATTATTAATTGCAGGTAAAATAGTGGGAGGAATGTGTGCGGTGTCTGGGGTACTCATGATAGCGCTTCCTGTTCCAGTTATTGTATCCAACTTCAACTACTATTATCAGCACCAAGGTAGTTATTCAGCTATTTATTTCCATTAGAATCTGTCTTCACTAAGTCTATTCAGAAACAATCAGAAATTTGAATAAAAGAACTATCAAAATGAGACTCAATAACACTACACGAATCCACCAGAGTAGTTGATACTGATATGTTTCAGATTTTTTAGACAACATAATTATGTTTGATAGGCAGTATTCACATATCATCAAGGTACGGTCAAGATCATCAATTGTAACGATTTGATAATTTCAGGTCCCTCCAGAGTTAATCAAGATGGTTCAGAGCAGGTTTGTTTTATTCACAAAGAATACAAACTTGTTATCAACTTCCATTGGTTGTTTTCAATACACGTTTTTTAATAATGGGTCGTCAAAATTTTCAAACCCGACTGACCGTTTTCTGTGGAATGGTGGAAAGTCAGAAATCATAATTTTATCTGCTTTCGTAAGATCTAAATTTTGTATTTTGCCTAGAACTGTGCAAGGTTTCGTCTAGATAACCTAGGTTTGATGGTCTATATTATACCATGTTACAAGTCTAGCGTAATTACCAACATGTTCCAGCGTTAATCACTGTTATATGAGTATTACAGTGAATAGAGAAGATAAATAGAAAGCAAGTTATTAACGAATTAAATGCACTCGATTTGTTACATGTTCGTCTCATAAACCGTCTAGATAAAAAATGCTAACCAGGGGAGCTTCATGATATTGTTAAAAATATCCTTGTGTTTGAAGTATAACATTCTTACAATAGCATTATAACACACAAATTCTTCGAATGAGTGGTAATAGCAAATCATAGCAAAAATTAATAACTCAATGCAGGCACTCACTGACTGAATTATTAATGCCAACGTATGTGCACTGACTTTTGCCCCCCCCCCCCCCCCCCCCCCTGTATTATAACACACAAATCTGCCTACAGATAGACAATTTGGCTGAGCTGTGGAGTAAAGGTATATGTGTGGTGAGGGACGGAGTGACACCCAGTGCTACACAGTCAGTTCTCATGTCGGCCGGGAGGAGTCTTACCCTCACGGCTGCTGTTACTCTCAACGCTAACGAACAAGGTGCACTTTTACACAATAAATACTTTCTTTACTCGATACTTTCTTTCTACTTTCATAGTCAACATGATTTTGTATGTATCAGTATATACTATGATTTTGTATGTATCAGTATATACTGTACATACATTATACAAAAAAAGTAAATAACGAGTATATTTTGCAGGGGCAGACGGAGGTGGCAGCAAACTTAAGGTAAACATTAATTTATCTGCATCCGGGCATGATTCCAAATCTGTGCTATAATTGTGCATCATATTCATAATTGTAACTCTTCGTAACTGTAGGTAACTAAAATTAAATGTACTTTAACGTCTTACCTCAGTATCACTTGATAATTCATTATACTAATAAAATAAAACAGTTATTTGTTTTTACTTACGTCATACCATCAAGTTTTAAAAACTTGAAAAAGAGACAACCAAAAAAAGTGGCTTGGACTAGGTTAAAAGACAGACAGATCTACTGACAAATCACTATCAATTGAAAATGACGATACCCTGAATACTGAAAATTTAGAGGATTTAGCTGACTTTATAATAGATTCATAATTGAAATTCTCTCATAATCTCCAAATAATTATTTCGTAGTAAAATTATCAGATCTTTCAGAAGTTCATTTATGTTCTATTTTTGATTTGAATAAAGTTATATAATGATAAAAACAACGTCGTCTTAAAAGATTGTTCGTAGTTTGCAGTTTTATGTTGTTGAATGTGATAATGATAGCCATGGTCTTGACGTTAAAATCACTTTGAATTTGTAACCATTCACACCAACAAAACCGCACTGAATATATTTTCATTGGTCAATAAAATTTCACAAAGGATGCTTTCACAGTTGAACACTTATCCAATCAACAATTTAACAATTTCAGAAAAAGAAGTCGGGGATAATTGCGTTGGCGCGGATGAAAATGCAAAAACCCACCAATCACCAACCAAGCTAGCGCCATATTCTTCTCAATCTATAATTTATTATTTTAAGCCTAAGCTAGGCTATTACTAAATTACTTCAAGGGATACAAAAATGCTATCGCAGTTATCAGTTGCCTGTTAAAGGTTTGGCATGGTTACCACGGCTACCAGGATTCCAACCTTTTCGCCTTAGATTTTTATAACGCATGATTATTTGATGAAGGAATATTTGTTGAAGAAGTTGTTTAGAATTGAATCTTTCATCAACACAATGTTCCAATAATCCAGTATGCAAAATTTCAAAAGCAACCGTTTGGTACCATTTTATAGTTTGGCGATGTTTCCAAAAATTGTTGACTTTTCAATATCAAAGGTCCTGATCCTCTAAAAAAAAGAAAAAGTGACCAACAACAATATTGCAGCGTATATTTTCTCTTAAAAAGTGTATGTCTTTCTTTTTGGATATGTTTTTACGTAGAGTTAGATATAGAACACTGACGATTGACATGACTCACGAGATGTTCAAGGTCTATTCAATTGATTTCCGGGAGTATGGGTTCAGAATGATTATAAAGTGGTCAAAATTTGATTCGTTGATATTTTTTGTTGAAATATTTTGTTTTATCACAATATTTTTAAACTGAGCCTTTGAGTCAATGAATTATAACATAAAAACAAAATATTAAATAGTGTTTATAGTTTTGTGTCCGTCTCCATGACCGCTGTTTAGTTCTCACGAGAGACACGTGACCAGTAAGTGTGTACTAGGTTACACTATAAGTATATATAATATATATATATAGAGACGTGTAATTAGGCAATTACTTCAATATTAGACAGGGCCAATTTCTCAAAATGTGTAACCTTCTTGAGTGGTTCTTAACAAACGCACAAATGAAAAACTTAGCGTCATGCATTAGTAAGTAAAGATGATACGAACGTATTTAAATTGCTATCTATCGCCAACGTTATAAATTGGTTTTAAAGTTTCGCTTATAAATATATCGGTTTTGAAATGTGTGGATCGCAAAGCGATAGTCATGGCCACGAAATTCCCTAACGAAGCGAAATAAAATCAGAAACACGCAGTGCGTAGTATATAATATTTACGATTGGGAGCTTTTCTTAAAACCTCCCCTCTGCACTCTATGAAATAATGATGAACGATGTATTTTAGGACGCTGATTCCGAATCACCCCCCCCCCCCCCCCCCTGACGTAGGGTAAAAATGCTTCCCTGAAGAGTTATGGACAAAAAACTATTTTGGTCACGTGACAAGCTTACAGTAAAACACAAATTCGATTGTTCAGTGGTCGGGTTAGGGTTAGGGTTGTGGTAAGGGTTGGGATTAGGGTTTATGTAAAACCGTATTGTTCGGCTGAAAAACCATTAAAACTAAAGTCACGTGATAATTTTTGGGCGAGCGATTTAGTAAGAGTCGCCTAAAACACTTGAGTGGATATTTAATATAGCACACACAAACGCGTGCTGTGTTTTTACATCCCGGAACGATACGTGGAGATTGGAGAAGTGCATATAAGACTTTCTACAGAAAAATTAGTTTATAAAACTCTTTAAATAAAAAATGATCAATTGATTATATTTATACATTTATTGGATGATAAAAGCAACTTGTTGTACCTTTGATTACATTAAACAAACTAATATGCATTAGTGCGACGCCATAGCAACAGCATTTCATTTTATAATGATTCTAAAGATTTAAAAAACCCTTTAGATTGAAATATGTAAAAGCGTCTTATCCTATAATGAGTGTAAAGAAAATGATAAATGTTATTATCTTCCATTTAGAGATTTAAGCTTAAGAAATGACCACTGTCCAGGACCTGTTTAAATTTGGGATTTTGCTTTTAATCATAATCTTTCCTAAATGTTAGAGCAGAGACATTTTTATATATAGTATATACCCTAAGCTTTAATCGGAATTATTTTCACCAATACTTCTAATTCGAAGTGTCAGTTAATTTATCAGACCAGGACTATAATTGCTTGCAGTTGCACCATTAGGATTAATTCTTGCCATAGGTTTCACCGCAGGGGTGTATGTAGCCACAGTGCGAGGAGAACCACTTCCACTGATGATAGACTTTGATCTCAAGTTCTTCTGCAACTTAAAACTAGCCGTAATTAAAGAGCCCCGGGAACTTTGTGAACGCGAACTCTGCTCTGTAGATTGAAGTCTTTTCCAATCCTGGTTCCTTTCAGCCCTGCAAATTGTGGTTGAGTTGATTTGAAGAACGGAATAATTATTTGCACCATTGGAAAGGATTACCGGCACTGGGAAAATTCTACATGAATATAACATTATGTGAAATTGTAAAACATTTACTTTCTCAACATGGATTATTGCATAAAATAAATATTTTATTGACAATACTTACAAGCAATGAACATTGAACATTGAACATCCCACAGCACTTTCTTTTTTTTTACACATGCTTTTAAGACGTCTAAAGAAAAGTTATAACCTCAGCAATTCGCCTCAGCTTAGACACATTAATAACACTGAAAAGTTGTAACCTCAGCAGTTTACCTCAGCTTAGACAAAATGCTGACACTTTACACTTACCATACTCATCATCTTGAGGAGGCAACTTCAAATTCTCTCCCCAAGTTAACCCTAAGAGTTGAGAAGAAGACGAAAGAGTGCACCTACATAAATAGTGCACCAGGTGCACTGCACCTACATAAATACAGCGGAGCTTCTTTGCATAAGAGTATTATAACCAGACTAAAAGGAAAAGGAGCAGGGCGAGCTATAATACGTATTATAGATGTGTGGCCCCAGCAGCTCAAAAAGGAGCAAGAGTAATGCTATACGTATAGTTGGAGAGTGGTCCCAGCAGTAGCTCACCAATTGATGCTATCACGTTTTTAGCAGAAGTGACGAAGAACGCCGGTTCAGTGGCTTCACACCATTGCGATTGAAATTGAGACCAGGGAGAGATACATTTTGGATATATTTACGTTGTTCGCCAATGTTTGAGGAAACACTTGATAATCTATTTAATCTTTGTTCCACATTCATAGCTCCGTTCTCCCTGCATGGTTATGGTTATTGCTATGAGTTTATAGATCTTTTTAGCCTTTTTTAGCACTGCTTCAAGAAGGTCAGTAAAAAACTGTGTTTTGGTTAGGAGCATGGTTAGCTTGGAGTCAGGCTTGGAGTTAGGGTTTCGGTTAGAGCGTTGCAAAATTCACAAAAACAAAAGTCACGTGACAGTTTTTCGCGAAGGTTATACTGTTAATCGAAGGAATGAATTTGATAATGATGACAAGGTCTATATTTTTAAAATCTCCATGCTTTTATTTAATAAATTTGAATTAAGAAATCACCGAATCAGATTTCATTATATTATAATAAAATAACAATCAGGGAATTCTTATCAAATGAACAAAAAGTGATTTTTTCATTCAGCATTCTTGCATGCTCTGTGAATATTTAAAGTTTCAACCATACAAGGCAATGTTAACAAGGCAACACTACCATATAAGGCAATTTTTTATGGTATAATATATATACCCACAATACTCAAGCTTACCCTTTGATTGCTGAGAAGAGATGTAAAAAGAAACCGTTGGTAAAGACGCGGAAACGAGCATTCGTGTGGTAATAAATAGCAGGGTTCACAAAACACGACATCTGTAAATTTCAATTTTATTAATTTCATTAAGCGACTGATACATGATACAATTAATTTAAATGATTGATAAGTGGTAACACAAGATTGTGGAATTCCAGGCATTAAGTTTAAATCTAATAATAGTAAATAGTGTTTCAAAGAATTATAATCCTGCAGTAAACACTAGTTAAATACTAGTTAAATACTAGTTAAACATTCTGTTAAATATAAGTTATATTTTAGATACACAAACCTGAAGCATAAGTGTTACAAAACGTGTGTATTTGACCATAGCTAGGCCTGGTAGATGCGGTATAAAGTTGTAGTACTGTAACATCCAGAAGAAGTAGGGCATGTTGGACGCCACGTACATAAACGTTATTAGCCCTGCAAAATGTTCTATTTTTAGGTAATTTGTTACGATATAACAAATTCGTTATATCAACAGTCAACAATCACTCCTTGCTTCATTTAATATAACATTATCTTTTAAAAAACCATCTAGCTCTTCCATAAAAACATTTTAATTACATAGTACTTACCTACAATGAGAAGATTAGCTTTCTTTATACTTGAAGTTCCTTTACTGTACGCTAGAGCAATCAAACACGAATTCAGTCCTATCAGGGTTATAGAGGGGCCGACCTAAAAACATTGAAACATCATCACCTTTATTTAAATCTTACCTTAGGGGGCAAACATCATCACCTTTACTTAAATCTTACCTTAGGGGGCAAACATCATCACATTTATTTAAATCTTACCTTAGAGTGACTAGTAGTGACTAGTAGTGACTAGTAGTGACTAGTAGTGACTAGTAGTGACTAGTAGTGATTAGTAGTGACTAGTAGTGACTAGTAGTGACTAGTAGTGACTAGTAGTGACTAGTAGTGACTAGCAGTGACTAGCAGTGACTAGTTGTGACTAGTGGTGACTAGTTGTGACTAGTGGTGACTAGTAGTGACTATTAGTGACTAGTAGTGACTAGTAGTGGTACACTCGTTAAAGTCGGTGTGTGGCGATTTTTGTTAGTTAGACAATCTTGCTTTTTGAGAATTTTTTCTTCTTTTTGTTACGCCATATATTTTTCTGATTGATGCATTTGAATGCGAAATAACATTTTGTTGTGATCCTTAATTCAGTGCCTCATTTAAAAATACCTAAAATTCGGAAAAATTTAAATACATTTTACCGTTTAATCATCAATCATCATAGCACATTCTATTCCTCAAATCGTGGTTTAATTTATAACATAATTTTATCGAAAACTTATTGTTTCGTTGTATTTTTAGTTAACTAAATTACGGTTTACCTTTTTATCAATTTATTATTAAACGAATTAAAAATAAAAATTATTGTTTCATTGACTATAATACTATACTTACCACGACTATGCAGGTGAGTATGACGTCATTCAGTCGGTAAGGAGCATTAGGGTCTTCTATGATACCACAACCTAATAGGTAGGGTACGTACTCAACCTGTTAAACATGTTGCTTTTATACTTTAATAGCTTTTAAAATGCCCATTTGTCTCCCTACTTTTTGATCTAATCTAAGACGATAACACAGTTTTAATACTTTTCACGCTACTATATTAGTACTATATAACAACTTAACAAGTAATATGAGCTCAGTATGTAAGTATGTAATCAGGGAGACATGCTTGAAAATGGCTGGAGAGAGTTCCTAGTGCCCCTGTATAATAAATCCTGCAGCTTCATACCTCTAGCGAGAGGACTCCTTCGAGAGTGACTATCGTATAAAGGTTGCTTCCCAGCAGGGCTATCAAGCTTATAAAGATCTTTCCTTTACGACTCGGAGGAGCGTCAAGGGGACGGAGACATCTGAACAGTTTATTAAGGACCATGGCGTTGATAAGGAAAGAGTTGCAGTCTATGAAAACGTAGCGTATTATTAGTAGTCCTTTGCAAAGTCCAGGTCCTAAGACCCAACGGTACCTGAAAAAAAACAATTATTAACTGAGAAAAACAATTATTACCTTAGAAAAACAATTATTACCTGAGAAAAACAATTATTACCTGAGAAAAACAATTATTACCTGAGAAAAACAATTATTACCTGAGAAAAACAATTGTAGATTTATGTCGATAAAAAGCTGCAGATAATTTTACTATATTACTTCAGGAGTATGATATATAAATTGCCTGCATTTGTCACTAACCCGATACTAGCTGTGATAACGACTGGAAGTAAATGGAACATCCCATGCCCCAAATCTTTATTACTATAATAAAGTAATTTTTCACTAATTTGTCACTAATTTTTCACTAATTTTTCACTGATTTGTCATTAATTTGTCACTAATTTGTCACTAACCCGGCACTAGCTGTGATAACGGCTGGAAGTAAATGGAACATCCCATGCCCTAAATCTTTATTACTATAATAAAGTAATTTGTCACTAATTTGTCACTAATTTTTCACTAATTTTTCACTGATTTGTCATTAATTTGTCACTAATTTGTCACTAACCCGGCACTAGCTGTGATAACGGCTGGAAGTAAATGAGTAAATGGAACATCCCATGCCCTAAACCTTTATTACTATAATAAAGTAATTTGTCACTAATTTGTCGCTAATTTGTCACTAACCCGGCACTAGCTGTGATAACGGCTGGAAGTAAATGGAACATCCCATGCCCCAAATCAGCAAAAGCCAGGTTCTGTACCAACCACACTGACATAGGATCCAGTTTAATTGCTTTGTATTTTACAGTGCCGTAAAGGATAAATGTGTTCCCTGTCCAACATAATATCAGGACTATCCAGTAAAAGACTCCTATTGTTATCTGCAAGTATATTAGTATCTAGTAATATTATCATAATCATTAGTATCTAGTAATATTATCATAATCATTAAATAGGATATTAGTATCTAGTAATATTACATAGAATTAAGAAAACCAATAAGCAAACATAAAATAAAGAAAACCAAAAATAAATAAAATTTGTTGGTTTCTACAGATTTATTTTTTTGATTTATATAAATAATATATAGGTAATTATATAATATAATTTATATAACATAATTTATAATTTTAAACAATGTTTGAACAACTCTTGTAACCTCTTCGCTTCTATTCAGCTCTGACTGGAGGAGAGTAATATTGAGAGCCATGATATCTGGAAAGTAAATAATTTAGTGAATAAATTAGACTAATTAGACTAATTGGCCACAGGACAAATATGTGTATTATCACAACCAATATATTTAGGAAATATTAGTCAAAAGTAAATACAGGCCCTAAAAAATAAAGTTAAAAATAACGCAAAGAAAGTGAAAAATAAACGGTATATTTCCAATTGATCCATAGCTCTTTTATTCAAATTTCCGATTGAGACAGAAGAGACTCAGTGAAGACAGATTCTAATGGAAATAAATAGCTGAATAACGTTAAACGTATCGACATTGAATAAAAGAACTATCAGAATGAGACTCAATAACACTACACGAATCCACCAGATTACCCAATTGATTCATAGCTATTCTAAGACTCCTTCAATTAGCATTCCCCCTGTGGCGCCGAACGAAAGCTCACTAATTATATTTACTTTCAACACTACATATAAACAATCAAATGGAAGTTAGGAACAGGTACCTCCTACTGAGAACACTCTTTATGTCAATTGTACTATGGAGACTAAGTGCTGGCAAGCGCGACTACCAATTTAGATACCACCTTACACGAATAAGGTAACACTGTTCAAGCGATGAAACCATGCCTTCACTTCACACGGCGGGAAATTAGTTTTCAAAGGTCGGCATAAAATCCGATAGATCTTTGGCGGCCTATTTGGACAACAATTAAAACAGCAGAAATTAGCGAACGGTTGAGATTTTGAACGGCTATAAAGTGGAAATCCTTTTTGCACGTGGCACCACACAATATAGATTATTGGTGGTGCCACCACAAATAATTGCGGAAAAGGAGAGACCGGGATCAATTATGGGCATAATTTTTGGATGTACTTTAATGATTACGTAATATCTTAAACGTGACCATCAAAAAAAATATGACTACCTTCATTGTTGTGTCACGTTATAAATTGTAGAGTTGTAGAAATTTACGTTTAACATGCAACTGCCGAACAAAGAATCATATCCTTATTTAACAGCAGATTATTAATGACGGCTTTTAAAACTGATAGGAGTTGCTGCAAGTCGATGTAATAGTGGCTGGCCAAAGAGTATTGATAACGTTCCACTATAATTTAATAGGGACTATCATCTTATCATGCATTACAAGTCAAAATAAACAATTGTTTTTATGTCAAATAAATAAGACTGAAAGTCTTTGATATTTAAAATTGATTTCGTCATATTATAGGCAGCAGCATTTTTTATTGATCACGTGATGAGATCAGAGTCCTGGATTTGTCTCCTGTGAGCAGTTTCTTTACTTAAAATACTCCAAATTTTATTTAATGCATCTATTCTATTAGGATTTTTTATATCACATTATTTTACAATAGTATGTTTTTGTAAATCAGTCATGAGAACTTCCGGATTCCGGAACCGTCCGGATTTAAACAAACAAACTTCACCTAAATCAGATTATTCATGTAGAGTACCTTGTTAAATTACATAAAGCTTGAAGCTATTAAGGAAGTAGAACCTAAAGCACTCTGCAAGGTTATCAACAATGATACGAACAGCCCAACAATAACGACCGAATATCAACTTATTAACTAGAGGATTGAACACATTTAAGGTGCATTGATCACATTTGAAATAAAGGGTCTGGAGTGCAGGAAAGTTGATTAAGTGTCCTCTAAAAGAAAATAGTAATCTAATAAAAGTTTCTCGAATGATCTTTTGCGACAGAAGTTGATACATATTATGAAAAAAATTCACACTTTACACGTTTGCTTAGTACTCTATAATAAGTAATAAGCTATAATAACCCTGTTAGAAATAAAGAGCACAATTTGTGCAGTTTAAAAGGTGCATAAAATGTAGGTAGGTACTAACTGCACAATTACGCTCTGTTGTAAAGTTGTAAGGTATTCACAGTGCATTAGTGCAGTTAATACTACTATCAGCTTATTCCAGTTTCTGGTTAAGATGCAAAATAACTACAAAAACAACATGGATATAAAATCCACTCTCCTGCAGCTGTGCAAGGACATTAAATATCCATTATTACAATTAGGTACTATACAATACATAATAGATCAATTAACAAAATAAAACTATAAAAGGATAAAGAACTTTTGCACAGGATGGTTCTATTGTTTATGATAGTCATTTAGATATCTCATTATAAAACTGCAAATCATGGCCAATTAAAATAACATCAGCTAACGTGTAATTTAAAATTGCGCGTTTAAATTATTATGATTTATTACGGTCGTGTGGTAACCGTATGGCCGCTGTGTGGTAGCTGTATGGTGGCTGTATGGTGGCTGTATGGTGGCTGTATGGTGGCTGTATGATAACCGTATGGTGGCTGTATGGTGGCTGTGTGGTGGCCGTATGGTGGCCGTATGGTGGCCGTATGGTGGCTGTATGGTGGCTGTATGGTGGCTGTATGGTGGCTGTATGGTGGCTGTATGGTGGCTGTGTGGTGGCTGTATGGTGGCTGTGTAGTGGCTGCATGGTGGCTGTATGGTGGCTGTATGGTGGCCGTATGGTGGCTGTATGGTGGCCGTATGGTGGTCGTATGATAGCCGTATGGTGGCCATAAGATGGCTGTATGATAGCCGTATGGTGGCCGTATTGGCATAATGGCTGTATAGTGGCCATACTTACTTTTTTATTGTCCGATGTGCTGTCTAAAGACGAACAAACTAGCAAAGCTTTATCGTGCACCACTGAAAGCTACAAGCAATGGAAAGGGATATATAAATAAATGTATAATAACTTAATCCCCGTGTATGGCGCACTGTGGCCCAACTTCTTTATACTTTTATAAGATTGTTATGCTTTATCATATCACTAACTTTTAGTTAGTGAACCCTCTCAAATACCTTCCATAGCCTGGTTGGCTGATAGATTAGCCGTCCTTATTGTGCTTTTTGTAAAATGTCCGGCAGTTAAGATATCAGTAGTTAAGATATCGGCATGAAATTTTCTAATTTTAATAAATATTGATATTTGGCTTTCTGCCATGAATATTTAAGATTCTTGAGGCTGGTAGGTAAATGAGCAATTATGAAATAAATTTTATTGACTTTTTAATTGATAAAGCCAAATACAAAAGATAATTTAAATCAGAAATACAATTGTTGAAATTTGATTAGTAGGTTACAAAATTATAAATTAAAACCTACTTGAGTTTGGGTACGATAAGAAAACAAAGCAAGGTAGCCTAAACAATAAGAGAACTGTGTTAAAATGAAAATGAATGTTGAAAGCTGATGGGAACGAAGGTTTCAAGCTAAAACAGATATAAAGTCCATTGGTTTAAACTTACCCTGGCCCTTGGCCTTGACTAAACCATACATTCAAGTTTAAACCTTCCACTCACCCATGTGCGAATTAAACGTTATGAGATAAAAATACTTCCAAATCTAAGAATTGAAAAGATGTTGTTTGGACTGATAAACATTACTATAAGACAAAGGGAAAACCTAGCAAACGTAAGAGTGAGTAAGTGAGCCTGTTAGAAATACATTATGTGAACCTAGTGGCGCTGTCTGAAGGCGTCTAACTTGAAGCCTGTAACTGCAACCTACACCCTACACAACTCATGTAACTGCAACCTACACCCTACACAACTCCTGTAACTGCAACCTACACCCTACACAACTCCTGTAACTGCAACCTACACAACTCACACAACTCCTGTAACTGCAACCTACACCCTGCACAACTCCTGTAACTGCAACCTACACCCTACACAACTCCTGTAACTGCAACCTACACCCTACTATACACAACTCCTGTAACTGCAACCTACACCCTACACAACTCCTGTAACTGCAACCTACACCCTACACAACTCCTGTAACTGCAACCTACACCCTACACAACTCCTGTAACTGCAACCTACACCCTACACAACTCCTGTAACTGCAACCTACACCCTACACAACTCCTGTAACTGCAACCTACACCCTACACAACTCCAGTAACTGCAACCTACACCCTACACAACTCCTGTAACTGCAACCTACACCCTACTATACACAACTCCTGTTACTGCAACCTACACCCTACACAACTCCTGTAACTGCAACCTACACCCTACACAACTCCTGTAACTGCAACCTACACCCTACACAACTCCTGTAACTGCAGCCTACACCCTACACAACTCCTGTAACTGCAACCTACACCCTACACAACTCCTGTAACTGCAACCTACACCCTACACAACTCCTGTAACTGCAACCTACACCCTACACAACTCCTGTAACTGCAACCTACACCCTACACAACTCCAGTAACTGCAACCTACACCCTACACAACTCCTGTAACTGCAACCTACACCCTACTATACACAACTCCTGTAACTGCAACCTACACCCTACACAACTCCTGTAACTGCAACCTACACCCTACACAACTCCTGTAACTGCAACCTACACCCTACACAACTCCTGTAACTGCAACCTACACCCTACACAACTCCTGTAACTGCAACCTACACCCTACACAACTCCAGTAACTGCAACCTACACCCTACACAACTCCTGTAACTGCAACCTACACCCTACTATACACAACTCCTGTAACTGCAACCTACACCCTACACAACTCCTGTAACTGCAACCTACACCCTACACAACTCCTGTAACTGCAACCTACACCCTACACAACTCCTATAACTGCAGCCTACACCCTACACAACTCCTGTAACTGCAACCTACACCCTACACAACTCCTGTAACTGCAACCTACACCCTACACAACTCCTCTAACTGCAACCTACACCCTACACAACTCCTGTAACTGCAACCTACACCCTACACAACTCCTGTAACTGCAACCTACACCCTACACAACTCCTGTAACTGCAACCTACACCCTACACAACTCCTGTAACTGCAACCTACACCCTACACAACTCCTGTAACTGCAACCTACACCCTACACAACTCCTGTAACTGCAACCTACACCCTACACAACTCCTGTAACTGCAACCTACACCCTACCCTACACAACTCCTGTAACTGCAACCTACACCCTACTATACACAACTCATGTAACTGCAACCTACACTCTAAACAACTCATGTAACTGCAACCTAAACCCTACACAACTCCTGTAACTGCAACCTACACCCTACACAACTCCTGTAACTGCAACCTACACCCTACACAACTCCTGTAACTGCAACCTACACCCTACACAACTCCTGTAACTGCAACCTACACCCTACACAACTCCTGTAACTGCAACCTACACCCTACACAACTCCTGTAACTGCAACCTACACAACTCACACAACTCCTGTAACTGCAACCTACACCCTACACAACTCCTGTAACTGCAACCTA